TGATGGTGAAATTAGGACATTTCCAGATAAGCAGAAATTAAGGGAATTTGTTAAAACCAGACCAACCTTACAAGAGATGCTAAAGGGAGTCCTTTGGACAGAGAACCAACAACAGCAGACAGCAAGTGACCATTAACACACATGATGACAACCCAGAAACCAACCCAGCTACGGAAGTGTCCAAAGTAAATAAGCCTACAAGACTCTAAACAGAGAACCAGAGACAACAATTGACAAATGAGGACAACTACAAACCAAAAAGAGGGAAAAAATTGTGCAGTTATAGAACTTATAAATGGTGAGAAAGTCAAGACAACTGCCAAGATAGAACGGACTATTCTAAACTTGGGAAGAAAATTATAAATCACAGGGTAACCACAAAGAAAAAGGATAAACCTTCACATCAAAATAAAAAAGAAGACCAGCACAAATATTTAGCAAATACTAAAACAATAGCAATGAAGGAAGCAATAACATGATTCATAAACAAAATGAGCTCAACACAGAAAATTATATGGAACAAAGAAATCAGCAACATCATGATAAAGCATATAACAAAATGACAGCAACAAATTCATACTTGTCAATAATTACACTGTCAAAAGAGTAAAAAGAGAACCTACAGATTGGGAAAAAATATTCAGCAGCGACATATCTGACAAGGGACTTACCTCTAAAATGTATAGAAAACTCCACCACCTCAAAAACAAAAAGATTAACAATCCAATTTAAAAATGGGTAGAAGACATGAATAGACACTTCACCAAAGAGGATATTTAGGCAGCCAGCAAATACATGAAGAAATGTTCATGATTGTTGAGAGATGCAAATCAAAACAACAAGATACCATCTCACCCACCACTAATGGCAAAGTTCAACAAGACAGAAAATAACAAATGCTGGCAAGAATGTGGAGAGATTGGGACTCTCATACACTTCTGGTGGGACTGTAAAATGATACAACCACTGTGGAAAACAGTATGACGATTCCTTAAAAAGCTGGAATTAGAAATACTATTTGATCCAGCCATCATTAGTAGGCATATATCCTAAAGAAGTGAAAGTCAGGACAAGAACAGATATATGCACACCCATGTTCATTGCAGCACTATTTACAATAGCAAAGAGATGGAAACAACCTAGGTGCCCATCAATAGAAGAATGGATAACCAAACTATGGTACATACACACAATGGAATACTATGCAACACTAAAGAATATTGTAGAATCTGCAAAACACCACGTAACATGGATGAACTTGGAGGACATTATGCTGACTGAAATAAGTTAATCACAGAAGGACAAATATACTGTTAGTTCATTATTGTAAAAAGTCAAGGAAAGGTTATATATGGAAGGAAACTCTCTTCGTTGGTTACCAGGGCTGGGAGGGGAGAGGAGGGAACACTGCAAAATAAAAAACAAAAAAACAAATGCATGGACCTATGTCACTTTAGTTTTGTGTATTTCACTGTTGTTGTTGTTATGTGCCATCGAATTGGACCCAACTCATAGTGACCCCTCCTTGGGTTTCTGAGGTGGTATCGCTATGGAAATAGATTGCCCAACTTTCCTTCTGAGGAGTGGCTGGTGGGTTTGAACCTCCAGCCCTCTGGTTAGCAGTCAAGTGTCTTAGGCACTATGCTACCAGAGCTCCTGTATTTCACTGTACATAAATTATATTTCAATAAAATGTATTTTAAAAAAAAAAGATTTTATCTCACAGCTGTTGAAAGACTGAAGTTCACACACACACACACACATACACAAGCTACAGGCAGTCCTCAGGTTATGAACGCCCAGCTTATAGACAATTTGTATTTGCCCTTTAAAGTTACATAAATCAATTTAACCAACTGAACCAACCCCTACATGCAACAAATTCTTCATCACAATCACCTTCACTTGCTGCTTATGCTGCTTTTAAATCAGTGAAAAGGCTTCAAGCCTTCTCTTGCCCTCGCCCTCGCCCTTACCCTCACCCTCACCCTCTATATATATACATATATGGGAGCTCTGGTAGCATAGTGCCTAAGGCACTTGACTGCTAACCAAAAGGCTGGCAGTTCAAACCCACCAGCCACTCCTTGGAAGGAACGTTGGGCAATCTACTTCCATAGTGATACTGCCTTGGAAACCCAAGGAGGGGTCGAAACCCAAGGAGGGGTTTCTATGAATCGGGTCCCACTCAACGGCAAACAACATAATCGAGTGGATTCCTACTCATAGAGCAGCTGGTGGGTTTGGACCACTGACCTTTTGGTTATCAGCCAAATGCCT